CCAAAAGTAGAATCTTCAATGAAGAGAAAAATCTATATGCATACATATAAAATAAAGCACTCCACAACTCTGGCATTACTAAAATCTTTTCAGAAGGATAAAAGGTTTCAAATGACTAACTGGTTGATGGGAGACAGTCAGCCATGACAGAATAATTGCAATGTTCACTTTATGCTCAATTACCAACTGCTGACAGATTACAGTCAAACTACAATCTCACTAACTGCATTTTAAACTGATTTGCTTACAGCTGGGAAAAGTACTTTCTTCTTCTGAAAACTTGAGAGAAATTGAATGCTAAACTTAACAGTTATTCAAAACAATAACCAAAAGGATTGGATTTAGCAAAAACATTCACACCACTTTCAGAAATTTAAAACCTTTCATAGTTTCTTGTATATATGTATTTTCTGATTAACATTTAAATAGGTTAGGTATTCAGGAAAGGGACAAAACAGTTGACATAAGACAAAATCTTATTCTAAACTTCATGCTTCTGATATTTCAGATTTACTGAGTGCAATAGCCAGTTCCAAGTCTTCTTGCTCTTGCTGTTTTAGTCTTGCCAATCTTTCTTTCTCTTCTCTCTCACTTTCCCTCTTAGCCCATTCAATCATGTCTTCCTCAGTAGAATACTGCATTTTGAAAAGACAAAATAAACCAGGTTAATAATACGATAACTAACACTGTCCAAGTCCTTGGTTTAAGGGACAGTTACAGTTTTACAAAATATATATATTCTAGTCTTCAAATATGACTTGCTTTTTAATTTTAATACACTACTAAGATTAGCTTAGTCTAAGGTTTAACTATTAAGAACTGCATTGAAGCCATCCAACTGATGTATTTTTATGAAATATGCCATGTTTCAAAATTCAGTATTAAGTTTCAAAAAATTTACTGAGCAAAAAGTGCTATAATTTAAATTCAAACTATTTCGGATAAAAAAACCAATCTATATAAGAAAAATTTTGAATAAATCAGGAGAACATTTTGCAAAACACACCTCTGTCCGTACTGTGGGACATCCTGATTTACCTTACTTTCATTGGGGATTTTTCCAGGTGACAGTGACTGCAAAAATTAGCTGTAGAATGACTGTTTTTAATTGTGCAGATGAAAAATACTTCTGCCAAGAAGCAGCAAAATAATAAGGTAACTGTACACTTAGAAGCCTAATAGTAATACAGAGAAAGGTCAGTGTGATACAAGAGGGAAAAAAAAAAAAAGAACAGATTATTTCCATGTATATTGATGTGAACAGAATGTGAAGTAAGTTTCTGTGGTACAATGATTATAAATCAGAGACAGTTAGGCGTATTATCTTAAATAAAATACAAAAGATTATGCTAAAGTTTGTTTCTAGTCAGCATGCAGAAAAGCTAAGAGGTAGGTGAAGCCCATGTCTTCATGAATGTCCCAATGTTAAGTCTGAAAGGGTTATCATAATATACTCCAGCTAGTTTCTGCTTTAAGCTGCTGCTTTGGGAAATAAATGTAGAAAAGCTTGAGTCTTCTCCATAGTTCACTTAGCATTTTCAGTAATTGCAGCTGGAAAAGAATACTTTTTCCTTCATAAAAATAATGAACATTTTTGCTTTCTCCTCCACATTTCACATTCTCTCCTCCAAACTGGCTTCTCAGTCCCTCTAACTAATAACAGCGATCAATAACAGCAATTCAGAAATTAACATGCTACAAGACACATCAACCAGTGCAAGTCAATTTTGAGAGCCTGTCAATCCTCAGTTTACTTCAATCAAGCACATAGTTTATTAGGCCTGAAAATAAAAAAGCAGTGTGATCAAGATACTGTAAATGCCAATTGCATTTAACAGGTATCAAGCTTGAAAGTGAGATGATGCTTTTCAAAACTCCTATTTGCAAAAGCTCAAAATTAAAAAATATATATAGGCATGCACAAACCTTTAGATTTGCTTCTACTGCTTGGACACCACGACTTCTATGAAATGGATTCTGGTTATAAAGAGACACTTACTACCTTTTACTTCATTGTACGCAAGTCTGGAATTTACTAGCCATTCAAAACTCACCAAATTATATTTCATTAACATACACTGTTATGAGGCTGTTTATCAATATTTCAGTACATTGAAATTATGACCAAACAGTTCAGTGACAGCTAAATTAAAATCACACCTTTTGTTTTATTTTTAATTGGACAGTTAACAGTGTGCTTGTTATAGATACATAATTTAAATCTGCTGCATGCTCTGATAAAATGGATAATCCCTAGAACATAGATATTTAAAAAGGCCTATTTTGTAAAAGCTAGGAGGCCTCCATGAAAAAACTCATAAAAGCAATGCAATTTAAACATTAACTACAAGATTTTGCAGTATTTTGTTTTAGGACAGCCTCAGCTGTAAACTAAATGTAAATACTGTTTTAACTGGAAGCGATATCCCTTTTGTACATGGGATATGTTTTAATATTTTAAATTAGACTGAAGACTTCAGTGTGAACAATTCAAAGCTGTCATTCTACTGAAACAAATGTAAAAAGTGTTTACTCACAGTACTGAAGTTTGCAAAATTGTTGGGGTCAGCCTCTTTACTGATGCTGGTGGGAGCAAATGGATCACAGAATAGATCTGCTTCTTGTTCTTTGGGAATGTCTGGGGTGGGGAAAGGCTGAAATGGATCGCTCGGTTTAAAGGAATCTGAAGAGTCTATTTGATTGATAGGTCTTTTCCCTTAGATTAAAATGAATTTAAAATGAATTTAAGATAGCAGGTAATAACATGCCAAAAATAGTAAAAAAAAAAACCCCACAGATTCAAAAGCTACTTGGAATGCAACCTCTTCTCATAAACTAGTGGAGTCGCAATGACTTCAGAGGAAGGGTTGCCAATTCAAAAAAATGAGGGTATGGTCCATAGTTTCTTAAAGGGTAATCAGGCAAAAAGGAACACATGTATGTTAATGATTCGAGAACACAGTTATGTACTAATTAAATATTTTGGGAAGGGAATTTCTAACAGTTTTGAGCCCCTATTCTATCAGCACAGTATTTTCTTTTGCTTATCAACTGTCCATGATCATTCCAGCAAGGCTCTTCTATTATTTGTTTGGATCAAGTTAACACAATTTCATTCAGAGACCAGAAATACATTTGTAAGCCTTCAAAACACCATGTCTTCTCACTATGCTAACACCTGGAATTTCTGTAGTTTTTAAACTAACAGAATGAAGGAGTATGATAACAAGCAATTACAGGCTTAACTATTTTGTTAATCCTTGCCTAAGCAGCTGCAGATATAACAGAATCAGGCACAAGCCCCCACTTATCTTGTTCTTTTTTCAGCTTAACCCCAGTCAGCTTTCAACACCTTTGAGAACATTAACCCAAATACTTCCAAGAATAGTTGAGTTGAATTTCATCCCACCATTCTCTCCACATGTTACTGCTTACAGAAAAGGTTTCACTGCAGTTTCTTGAATTCAACTAGCGGGTTTGCAAGTGGTTCGACACTTAAAATGGTCATATTTTAAAAACGTGCTTCTGTTGCCATTTTAAACTGCAGAATCGAATGAAAGTGCTTATTATTTTGCATACAATCGTTGCACGTTAGTCTAAAAATTCTTTCATAGACCAAAAGAGATTCTAATTTGGCAATGATTTGGAGAATACCGTCTTGGGAATATATGATTTATTTAGACGCTTTGCAGATAACCTTGCCATGATAGCTCTCACTCACTGATGATGTTCTATTACTTGCAAACGACGCATGTCTATTTCTTGAATAACGTGGGAGAAGCAGCTTCAAATGACTACATGGGAAGGATTAATAAGTAGAAGAATATGAAGTATACAGTCTCCAAATCTGCCCAAAAAATTTTAAAATGAGGGTGCTTATCAGCATCTAGAAAGACAATGGATTTCAGAGGCAAGCAAACAGCCCTTCTGCACACCTTCCAGTAGTGTGACAAATTAAGAGAAACATTTTGGGGCATTTCCATGAAAAAGCATTCCCTTGTTTTGAATCAGACCAAGGGAGTAATCAAAAACAAATACACTTAAGTATCTCCATTTTTTATTTACATTAGGAAAATAATTTATTGGGAACGGTTATCAAGATAACCACAGTATCATTTTTAAAATGCACAAATCAAAACAGGCTACTTTTTTGTAGTCATCTATTGGTAAGGATGCTGTTGTTCCGCCACTAGAAGCTTGCATTCTAAAAGAGGATCTGTACACCACGTCATAGCCACTCCCATACAATGAAGTCAGAAATCCTGCTTTTGTTTTAAATAAGGACCACCATAATAGGAGACACTGTCAAACATTCAAATTATCAGCACTTGTCATGTCAGCTGTTTTAATGTTATTTACAATGAAACTGATTACTTGCAAGGCATGAGCATGAACCAGATCTCACATCAACATTAGAAATTAAACAGCTGAGCTTAAACTTTAGTATTAATTATCCTACATTTACTGTGTTCCCCTTCTTTTGAGGAAAAAGATGAATGGATGTTTAAGTTTCGTGCTAGTTTTCCAAACCACCTTAAGATTCATCCATATAGTTTAATAGTGAAAAAATGATGCAGCAGTTTTTAAAGATGAATAGATGTTTAAGTTTCGTGCTACAGTTTTCCAAACCACCTTAAGATTCATCCATATAGTTTAATAGTGAAAAAATGATGCAGCAGTTTTTAAAGAAAATGAAACAAAGGACAGAAACTTAAAAAGGAATACTAGTAATGTATTTTCCAATCTATGCAAAAAAAATCAACAGTGAGGAGTCTGTTGTAACATGGGCTTGTTGCAACCACAAGAAGGTGTTGTTATCTTTGATAATCGTGGCCTTTTCTGGAAAGCAGTGTGCTTTGTGTCATGGGGTAGACCAGAGGACTCAGCTATCACTGAACAGAAAACAGCATAGGAAACTTGGGTTTATTACTATTTCATTGGTTAAGTTTACTACTACAGACCTCTGGCAAGGCCACCTGGAAAAAGTTAATCTGAAAACCCGAGACAGTCATTTAACCCTATTTAATTCGTTTTACATTAAAACCAGAGGTTTTGCAATGGATAAAACACACTGAATTCTCACTTTAAGGATAATTTAATGCAAGATTCACAATGTATCACATTAGTAACCATTTAATTTGCAGCCATGCTATGTTCTTGCAGATATGTATAACAACTGTATTTTTTCTTGTTTTCTAAATCATTCCTCTCCTCAAAAAACAAACTATGATCCCAAACACCATGCAAAACTTAACTCTGAGGAAACCACCGACAGATCAGGAACAGACTTGTCTCACATCTTGCTCATTCATTCTAAATTCAGACACTTCACCATCCCCTCATAATTATTGTCCCACTGCCAATATTGAAGCAGCTAATTGTTAACAACATCTCAGTATCAGCTCTTACCAGGTGGTGGTGGACAGGGCCTTGTGGGAGTTCCTGTTTTAGGGGGCAATGCAGGAGGAACATCCTCATTTTTAGCTGGTGGTTCCTCAAATAAGTTTTTAGTTATGATCACGTTGTTGACAGAACCTGATGTGGAAAAGCTAAAGGGATCCTCATTGTTGGCCTTCAACAAAGAAAACAGCAACATACACATTTTCAGTGCAATTCTACTAATACTTACCCTTCCTTTCAATAATGCAGTATTTATTTAGAACTGAAAGTTTGGAGTAAGACAAAAAGAAAATACTTATGTTTGGTTTTAAACATATAATCCACATACTCCAGGAGATTGAAAATAAAGAAAAATCAGGAATGGTTAGTGTGTACAGCAATCTAAAGTTGAGTGCAGTTATACATGCAAAAGTAATACTTTTGTTGTTAAACTCATCGAATTTTAAAAAAATAATCACAATATCACTTCAAATATAAGAAAATCCTTATAAAGCCACAAAGATTACATTGCATTCTTCACAATGGAATTGCAGGACAATTTATTATAAAGACTTCTTTTTCAAGAAAGTCAGCCATTATAAATTTTGAGTAGTGGCAAAACTGTAACGAAACAGTTGGTAGAGAGTGTAAATTATGTCTTGTCACTGCAGAGTTTCATGCATTTTCTAAGAGTGGCAGTAGCTTCATATTACCTTTGACAGCGTGCTGAAGTCAGCAAAGCCACTTCCAAAGGATTCATTTCCAAACAGAGAGGCAAAGGGGTCTGTAGCTAAATACACACAAATCAAGCGAACAGAATGAGATTAGAAGTTAAATATGAAAGAGGCTGAAAAAAATTCCCACAACAGAAGAGCAACTGTTACATATTTTGCAGCATAGACTAATTCAAGTGAAATATTTTAGGAGGTGTTAAGTAGCTTTTACAAAAACTCTGTCAAGTACTAATTAAGAATAATAATTCTCCTGAACAGGGAGTAATTCAAAAGAAATACTGGTATTCTGGTTTCCTACACTAAAAAAAGTTAAAATTCCACTGAAAGTATCAAATAACCATACTACTGGATGTTCTGCTGAAATACATGTATGTATGTATACACACAGAGGTATTTTTTGTGTGCATACATACAGAAACATACATATATATACATATATATAAAAATAAGAGAACATGAACAAGAGCTCACTTCTGACTGTAGGTCCACTTGTGGAATAAAGTATCTGAACCTCGTATTATCTCAATCTAATTCAACAGTACCCTGTCATTCTTATGTGCCTCAAAATACATAAAAACTGCTGTCCTACTGTAAAGCAAGAAGTGCACCATCTTTACCAATACTCACTTCTGCATCTCCAGAAAAGGGCATTTTTTTCCTACAATTAAACTGAACAGGTTTACAATATGAAATCACATGTGGATTCATGTTTTGGATTACCACTTTTCAGTGCAACTTGGGGAAAGAGCAGATTAGGGTCTTCCCTAAAACATCTTTAGCCCTCAAATGAGGGAGGGTCATAGCAAAACAAAAGGAGCAAACTTTTAACAGTAAAAATTCTTGATAAAGTAGTTATTCTATCCCACATCTCCTCTTGTAGTACAAAGCTATCTTGTATGTTACTTAGAAAGTAACATGAAATCTCTAAAAACAACCCTAATTGGTAGTAGTAAAACCATTCAAATAGTCCAAACACTTAGATCACGATATTTCACCAGTTTCAGGTAAGGCAGAGGAACATTTTTGCAGAATCAGTCTTCAGTGATATGCACTAAAGATAATGAGACAGTTTTTTTTTTTTATAAAAATACCCCTCTGCAAACTTGCACTTCATGTCATACTTCATAGGAAAATTCAGAAAATGTAGGAAATCCCTAAAATGCTCCATCACAAATTCAGTTAAAAGACTGGAAACAAAAATAAGCAAAAGTAAATAAAAATAAAGCCCAAGAAGTCTGATGTGTCTAATCTACTTTTACCTAGATCATTTGATGTAGTAACAGTTGTTCCACCAGGAGCAAAAGGGTCATTCTTCTTCGATATCTCTGTCTAAAATAAAAAATTCCTTTGAAGGAAAATTTGTTTTTCACCTTAAAAGATTCCTCATTCTAAGAGTACAATCACAATTTATTTTGGTTTAGAAGTTTTAAGATAAAGTATTTTGGACGTAGCTTTTATCAGCATCAGTAAACAAGTCTGTTAACAGAAACTCCTCCTCAGAACAGCGATTAATACTTTCAAAGGATAGAAAACAGGCACAATATGTGCAACATACTTGGTAACTACTACACAAAATCTAACACTCATTTTGGTCTCAGATTTCTACAACCAGAGCCATCTTCACGAAGGTAACACTATAAGATATCAACACCACAAAAGATGTGGTAAAGCATTTAGAATGAATGCATAACTTAACTTCAGTTCAGAAATACAGATCTCACAAGAATCAACTGCTAATCTCACACCACAGCTCTGACCTTTTTTAAAATTTTTTTTTCCCCCTCTTCTGTACTTCTCTTATTATCAGACTGTAGTAAGACCAAGAATTGGTTATATTGGAATATTAAGACTTGGCAAAGTATAGTGTGCTGATTAAGTATTGAAGATTGTAGAAAACTAATTTTTAAGGTTGGAGGTGTAGGCTGTGGTGTGTAATATGACCTTGAGATCTGCATAATGCGCACACCATGTGGAAGGACAAGAACACCACTGCTAGTGAGAAATCACTGCACCTATCTTGGCTGTTGTGGGTTTGCCTCAGGCACACTTTACAGCCACTTAGCTTCCTAATCCTAATCCACATGTATCTTTAATTTTTATATATGTATACACATATTTTATACACAAACAAAATTCGAAATGAGGCATGAATAGAAGCAGCACTGAGAAGGAAAGGAGATGGCAAAAGGATGGGAGACAAACTTACGACATGAAGAATTTCAGCTTCTTAGATGAAGTGTTTGTCTATCAGCCCTAAATATTACCTCATGTTCATCAACTTCTATCCTACATCAGAGAAGGTCTCATGCCCAACTCTACCTTATTGTAGGCTCAAGACTAATCAATAACTGCTCAGTTATAATGTGAACAGCTAAAAGTTACACCTAAGTACACCTGAAAGAGGTATATTCGGTAAGAATCTCCACATTATGAGAGGGCTTCAATGACTCTTATTTAAAAAAAACCACAACAAAACCCAAACAACATACACCTATAGAACAACTTGACTTTTCAGAGAGGAAACCCCATACCACATCAGATTTCAGATAAGACATAGAACATACTTATTGATCCTATAAGCTTTGGAGGCAAAAATCAAGTGTCTCAACATAACTTGGTGAGATTAATCTTGGGTTTTTTCAATGTTTAGTAAGTTCCACCAGCTACCAATAGAGCTTAGTTCATTATTCTCAAATGGTTTTATCTGTGCAGTAATGAAGCTCCACAATGAAACATTTCAAAAATGTTTTTACTTTTACTTCTATTTCATCTGTGACTACTCCTAGAAAACAGGACACAAAAAAGACAAGACAGAGCCATGGGGTAAGAGGTAACCTTCTATCTATATGATTTCTGAATATCAGCATTTCAAGGCATGTCCAAATGTGCAAAATAGGTTATTTTGTCCAAATCATATATAGAAGGAAGTAAAAGGTATGCTATCAAACTTACTGTGATATTATTACTGTTGTCTGCAGTGCTAAATGGATCAGTACCAGCAGTCACAAAAGGATCAGTGGAGGATTGTTTGAAAAAACAGTCAGCTGCAAAAGGATCTGAGCCTTTGAAGGGATCACCACCGAAGGGATCTAAGAAGTAAATATCTCATTAACATTTCTGCTAGCTTTACTTAGCTTGGTATCTTAAAAACTAAATATTATATTGCTTTTCTCATACTGCAAGAAGGTAACACGTTTAAGACCAAGGATCTTTGAAGTATGAAATTAATCTGTGAATAATTTATTTTCTGTGATTCAAAACATTAGACAAGCCAACATTTTCTGCACATCGTGAAAACGTTGGATTGTGCCAGTGGTTCAGTTCCAGAATCATCTGAGCATATAGGTTCTTTAACCACACCTCCCTAAAAATGAAGCATTTTACAAAACTTAATGTTTTTCAGAACTCTCCTACCCTTCTCTCCTTCACTCCCCAAACAATACTGATGTTTTCTTATTTGGCACTTGGTGCACAATGCTATTTTGCCATAGCCTTCCTACTGGCCATTTTGCTTTTTTGTTCACCAGTAACTCCATTCAGGACCAAGCAAATAATGCAATGACATTGCCTATACAGCCAGTCTAAATAGAGACTTCCCACCCTTTTCAATACTTAGTGCTAAAGAAAGTTGGTAAGTTAAGAGCCTTTAAAAGAGTACAGTCTTACTACTCTGCATATAAAACAAGCAGCAAGAGTTTGGGGCCTTCTGTTCATCACCTTCACATAGTTAAATCCCAGCTAAGGAGAATTCCAACAGCAAGAGAGAAGTTCACTGGCAATGGGCTTCTCTGAAAAGCTTTAACACAACTGGCCAGCTGCTACTGCTATATATCCATCCTATGGTGACTTTTTGGGTCATTTCCATCTTTTTTGTTCTGAAGTGGTGACACTTTTTCCCAGGATTCATTTAGAAAAAAAGAGACGTTAAAAGTTACAAAGTTTCTTACCAATTTTCCCAAAAGGGTCATCTTTGAAGGGATCACCTGTTAAAAAAAAAGTGACTTGTAGCTTTTTATCATAAGACATGTACTGAGTTGAAGTCTTTTGGATACAAACTCATTTCTACAGCTAGAATATAAACAACTCTCACTCAGAGGAATAGTTTGACTATTTTCAGTGGAACTACAAGAGCTAGCATTAGATGAAGCAAATATTCATCAAGAAGCTCATTACCAGCATGAAACACACACAAAAGCAGTCATCTCAAAGATGCATTGCTCTTGGTTATTGTCAGTTGTCGTGGTTTAACCAACCACGCAG